GGCATGTGGTAGGCCTCACCTCTCCAAGAGTGGAATAAAAATATTATGCATATATGAATATCGCCACACAGCTGGAGTTAACAAGGGGGCAAGACGGCTCACTCACTCGTGTGGCGACCCTTCTCTTCCTTCCACTTGCTCTGGAGCACCACTTGGCTAGCTACTCAGTAGCCTTGCACGGAGACTCCTCCTCCCTCCCTCTGCCAGGAGTGGCTAGACGACCGGGAAGATTACGGCACTCTGGAGCAACTGGAAGGATGGCAGTGCCACTGGCGGCAACAGACATGTGAGTGGACGGTCCAGGGGCCGGACCCTTGTTTATTCCAGCTGTGCGAGGATCCCCCATCTCTAATACCCTGTTTTTCTGAAAAATAGCCCTAGTATGATTTTTCAGGATGCTCGTAATATAAGCCCTACCCCAAAAATATTTGAATAAATGTAGATTGTTGTACATGAATAAAATAAGACATCTCCTGAAAATAAGCCCTAATGTGTTTGGGGGGCATAAATTAATATAAGACCCTGTCTTATTTTCAGGGAGTGTTTCCCTGAAAACAAGACAGGGTCTTATATTAATTTTTGTTCCAAAAAACTCGTTTGGGCTTATTTTCAGGGGGTGTCTTTTTTTCATGTACAACAATCTACATTTATTCAAATACAGGCATGTCTTCTTCTTCTGGTTACTGCACAATGGTGAAGGGTGGGGTTTCACTTAACTGGGACATTTTTGGGACTGATATTGCAAGCATCCTGAAAAATCATATTAGGGCTTACTTTCAGGTTTGGTCTTATTTTTGGGAAAACAGGGTACGTACGTACGTACGTACGTACGTACGTACGTACATACATACATACATACATACATACATACATACATACAGTCACCTGTCTCAACTACAGTATCAAAGTCAGGGTGGATCAGAGCAATTTTGTCTTCGCACCTGGTCAGCGAGCCACTCTTCAACCTGGCTCCAGAGCGATTGGAAGGGAGCATGGAGCCCACAGCAGCAGCGGAAGCGTGAGTAGACAGTCAGCCCCTGGGGGCCAGACCCTCGTTATGTCCACCTGTGCGGGGGTATCCTTATATGAATTTGAATACCCCCATCTCTATATTCTACTGTTCTCAGTCGGTCAGGATCAAGATTGGTCTTAGGTCTCACTGAAACTAATGGGACAATTTAATCATTGGAGGGACTGGCAAATAACTTCTGAATACCTCATATCTAGAAAACCCTGGAAAGAGCTGTCATAGGTTAAAGACTTGATGGCCTGTCATCATTAACAATGATGTTTTAATGTTTTTAAGAGCCAATTAAAGACTTGGCTCTTTAGGCAGGCCTTCCCTCTTGTCAATACTTGACTTTTATTTTTACTTAGTTTTTTTTGTCTGTTTTCCCATCTTGATCATCATTAATATGTCAATTTAATTTATTCTTTTAACTGTTTTTATGAATGATTTTATTGTAACCCGCCCTGAGTAGACATTGTCTAGAAGCTACAGTATGGGATTTGTATTCTTATACGAATACGATTATCCCCATCTCTAGTAGCATATCATTTCCTGTAACCAAAGAGCAGTAGCTTCTGTATGCCTTCTTTCTGTTTGTAGTTATCCCACACATATTCTTTCTTTTCTTATTTTTTGCCATTGTATTATTTCACATGTAGGACAGTTTACAGTTAGAATGAAAACACTCTTGTAACCAAACTGTTACTAGGTTTGGGTTTTTTTGTGGGGGGAGGTTGTTTTTGGTTTTTTAGTTTTGTTTTTGTTTTTGCTATTAAAAGAGGTCTGGCAGGCTACATTAGGTTGGTTACTAGAAATACATTCACTTAGTTTTCAGTTATATTTCATTAGATTTTTTAATATATGAAATTCAGTTTTGCTGTAAGTAAGCTTGCAAAATGTTGTTTTATTTACTATGCAATCTGGTGTCCATGAAGACTTTGGAAATGTCTAGTTGCAAACAGAAACAGACTGTTCTTTTTAATGGAAGCTAGCAAGATGGTGGCTAGGCATCTTCAAGGACATAACTTGTATACTAGAAGGAGAGTCTCTATAATTTGGATGATGAAGGAAAGGGAAATTTGGTTTCAGATAGTTTCTTATCAGTGTACTGTTCAATTGTAGCACCAAGCCTTACTCCCAGGTAGGTCCTTATCTGCATCAGTGTAATGACTGTTAGTACTTCTACACTGAAGTTGTTGTTGTTGTTTTTAAGGGGGAAAAACTTCAAGGCCACTTTTGACAGGCTCATCATTCAGAATCACAAATGCTCAACTCAAACCAGTGAAATAATTTGCTCACAAGCTGGGCACAACATTGTGATTTTTTCATTTAGATTCCCCTCAGGTAATAAGAAATCTACAGACATACATAACTAGATTTGAGTTTGGGCAGACACACAATAATGGATTGTAGCAGGATCTCCTAAGAAAAATGATGTATACATATCAGTTAATCTGAAAGCCTTGTGAGTACAGTAGATTAACTCAGTCTTCTTTAGTTCTTCCTGTATTCTGGTTGCCATATTGTGGTATACATCTTCTAAATAATGAGATTCTGTTTGTAACGATAATATTCTAAGACTCCAGGCTGAAAAGCAGAATTTGAAAAATGCATACAACCTGATTTGGTGATAGTTAAAAAAATCAGTCTTTGTAAGAACAAAACACCATCTTTGTACTTCTGTAAACTGGTATAGAAAAAGAAAACATATTCAGATTATTTGACTTATGTAAATGCAGTGTACTGCTCTCTTGTGACATGAACGCTCAGATACAGATGCTACAACATGAGCATATCCATTGAGCTGTATGGACCAACATGACAATTTCAGCTCAGTGATAGAATTCCAGTGCTGAATGGGCAGGCTATTCTTTCCTTGCTTTATTCCAGTAAAATGTATCTGCATTTGGTAATGGACACTGAGGCAGCAATTAATTGTATACACATCTCTTTATATATACAACTGGGTTTTTTTAATTCAAGGCTGAGAACCTTGTGTTCAATCCATATTCTGAAATAGAGTGATTTTCATGATTTTTCATGAAATGTTCTGCACCTTTTGAGAAAGATTATACTGTACTACTGTGATAGATAGTCATATTAATTTGATCAAAGGTTAGTTGATACTTTGGCTTCATCCCATGTATGAATACAGTGTATTAGAAGGAATTTTGAACATATTTGTAATGAGGCCTAAGGATATCATCTGAATAATTTTGGTGTTGTTTCTGTTTCTTTGTATGGTATTGTTTTGACCCTTTTTAGTATTAGTATACTTATTGTTGTTAGATTTATGTGACCTGCTAGATAGAATTCCTTGAAATATTTGTTAACAATATAAAGGAAGCTTTTTTTAAAAAACCAAGTACTGTACCTTGTATGATACATTGATTCATATATACGAACGAAATGTGGTTATGAGAAAATGACTAGGGTTTTGTTTTGGCTTTTGCTAAGTTAGACTTGAGGGGTCCACCTTCCATTGTAAAACAGCTGTTATATAGCTTTCTTTATGTGCAGTTGTTAAATAGTAAAATGCCCTTACCCATGAAAAATGGAGTTTTAGAGTTATGGTGACATACTCAGAAATCACTCTATAACCACCAAATGTGGCATAAAGCCTTGATCATCTCAAATCATCAACACACAACAATGGGCTCTAGTTGAAGGAAGCCAGATTTCGGTTGAATATCAGGGAAAACTTCCTAACTGTTAGAGCAGTACAACAGCGGAACCAGTTACCTCGGGAGTTGGTGAGTGTTCCAACACTGGAGGCATTCAAGAAAAACTTAGATAATCCCTTGGCAGATATTCTTTGATTGTATTCCTGCATTGAGGGGGGGGCGTGGTTGTGATGGCCTTGTAGGCGCCTTCCAACTTCACTTTTCAATGATTCTATTATTCTGTGATTCAGGGAATATGTCTTGCAGCTGGTGATTTGTATTGCAGAAAGATAGCACAAAAGCACTGGCGACTTTTCCATCCACTTGAAAAGTCAGTGCACAGAGGACCTGAGTTGTTGATTCAACTGTTACAAAATTACATCGTGGAGTGTATGATAAGATTTTTTAACACTATATTAAACAGCCAGATTGATCACTAGTGAGTGGATATTGTTCCTAGTTTGTGAAATACATAGATAGATGGCTTTAGAGAAACACTGTGTACGTATAATAGATTTTTTAAATTATTCAGATTGTGTGTATTGCATGGACAAGAGCTGTAACTGGGCCCTGTGAGCTCAGAGTGCATGCTCTTCCACTGAGTTCTCCACCCATTATTTTGACAGTCCAGTAATACATTAGTAAACTGAAAGGTAAAGCAGCCACATGACAATATGCTGTAAGGCAGTAATGGTGAGTTTTGTTCTCAAATGTAGCTCTTCAGTAAGAACAGTTTAATGAGCCAGGTTATGATCAACACAAAATGTTGCATTCTAGACTGAAAGTTTTCTTACACCAACTCTAAACCTGCACTTAAAAACAGGGAGCCCCTTTAAACCCCATCTTATTATTGATCTCATAAATGCATAAAGGAAAAAACTGTGTACTTGGTTAAGAGCTCTAGAGTCCATGGGAAGAAACTAATTTGTGTAGATAGTACTTTTGAGAGTGAAATGTGTGTTATTACATTCTGAATACTAAAAGAAGAGTTCATTGTTGAAAAACTGAGAGTAAGTTTGTTTTAAAAAAAACAAAATTAGTATGGAACATTTGCGCAGTTAATTTTATTGGCACATAAAATAGCAATTGTACCACCAAACTGTGCATGCTTATTATTGCACATTAATACCAAATGTCTTCATACCATCTTACTCTTTTCTTCTGTTTTGAAAATCTTTTGGTTAATATTTCAATCATAATATTATTTTCAAGAATTATTTTCCCCTTTAAATTAAAAAAATAATTTTCAAACATTAGTAAGTGCTTGGTCTTAAATATTGTCCTGCTTAAGCACAGCAATTCCCCTACTGTACATGCTTTCAGCCATATTTTTTTTTTTTTTTTACAAATTGCACATGGAATGTTTCTAGAAGGAGGTCCCTTCTAGTGCAGTTTACGATGACGATACTTGCCTGATTTTTCTTTTGCTGTATTTGCACAGGCATTGTGCTTATTCTGTTGTAAATGATTCCAGTATTTGATCAGTTCACTAGGCTGGAACTGATGGGAGGTAATTAGGTGACTGTATTTACAGCTGGAATAAGAAACCCGCCAGTGATTGAAGACAAACTCATTGGGTGGGGGCATTGGGTCAATTCGTAACTTTGCAAGACAAATGCCCACATACACATCCTCTAGGTGCAAACGTCTGATACCCAGTGAGACCTTAAATATTTTTTCTGCTAAATCTCCAGAAAATACATAGCCAGTGCCAGAGCAGAATACAGGGTAACGTTCACTTGGATAAAGATCAGGTGGCATATACCATTTGCTGTCTTTGTTCCGGTTGGGAGCGTATCCCCTCATTAGATAGCCTGTAAAGTATTTATGCCGGGGAGGCAATTCTGGTTTCAAAAGCTTATGTATTAAATACTCGGTGTTGACAAACATGTCACTGTCTGTTTTCATCACATATGGAACATTTGGGCAGTACGTGGCAACCCAGTTCATCCCCATAAGTGTTTTGATTGTTAAGTTGTAGTAAGTATCTAAGTACTCTTGTTGGATAATATCATGGTATTGTCGGCTTTCCTCTGCGATGGCTCGTTGACGATATCCATTTAGTTTAATACTTAAACCAAGCAAAAAAATCCGAACAATTTGGATCCCAGGTGCCAGGCTCTCATTCCCCCATGTTTGTCTGATAGCTTGTCGAGCTTCCACTTGGCCTGGTTCTGCAGCTATAAGTAGTATTAAAAAGGGGCTTTTCTCCTGGCATTTTTCAGGCTCATTTATGATATACCTAAAATGATATAAAGTTGGGTGTCCAGTACCTCTTGCAGTATAAATACTCCCATTGGCACTTAGAGTGTTCTCTAAACCAGTAACTCCTTGAGGTGACAATTCTGTATTGTTAGAATTAGTAATAGTTGGTGGCCTGAGGGTCTGGGGGACTGCATCCTTCCAAATGGTCCTCAAAGAGCTGTGGTTTGTTTCACTTCTTGTTGACCTAAATCCTCGTGTTGTGTAAGCCACAGGGTTTTCTTTGAATCCAGCTCTGCCAGGTAGCCAGTCATGGTGGTTACAAAACAGAAATATAGCAAAAAGAAATACAAGAGAGAGTAAGCCAAGGAAGTGGGTGCGAAACAGAGACCTTTTGGTATTCCAGGACATTTTGGCAAAGCAGCAATGCCGCCTCCTCCACTGAAGCATGTTGTAATTATCCAGTAATGGGATGAGAGGATGACTGAAGGAAATGTGTTCTTGATTTCAGAAAAATCCAATGCTATTTCTTGGAATCCATCTTCTGTTGTAGGCAGATGGTTAGCAAATGACTAGCACTGCAAAAATTAGAAAAAGTTTAGTGGAGAAGCTTTTAAAATTTACCTTTCCCATTTAACTATGTCATTGTTAATAACATTTTCGAGTTCCAAGTACTTCACAATCTATATTCAATTGTGTAACACCTAAGTAGTCTTTTTAACAACTAGGAAAAGGATCTTGAGTTGGACATACATCCCAAGCCGTTTTATAGGTTCTTAGCGGGGGGGTGGGGGTGGAATACTAACCCATGTTTCACTTTCCAACTTTTTATGAAGTTTGCTGTTCTGGCATTTAACGTTTGTCAGTGCAAAGAGTAAAATTCTACAAGTGAGGAGTAAGATTATTACCGGTATGTAAAACGCTTTCAGCCATTGTGGCTTTCAAGTTGTGTGGCTTTCAAGTTGTCTGGCTTGAGGAAACATCTCTGTGTCTCCTGTTTTTCCATCTATGAATGTTTCTCTTTTTTTAATATCAGGCGCCTTACAATTCCAGCGTGTTGTTGGTTTGATTTTAAGAAAACTTGCATAGTTTACAAAGACAAGAATTACTTGAATCACACTAATGAATAGCAAATACATGAGTCTTGGGAAGGCAGAGTGTAAAGGTCTTTGTACCAGATGGAAGGTTTATTGGTACTAATTAAAACTGATATGATATGCAGTAGATACTATGGCTCACAGTTGGAGGCCCTTTCCCCCCCCAAAAAAGATCATGTATTGGTAGTGGGACAGACGGTGGAAGGTTGATTGTAGCAGAATTCTGTTAGTCACAGTACAGTGCTTGGCTTGTTTCCACTGGCCCCTGCTGTGTTTAGAAAGTCAGTGAGAAGATGCACCTGTCAAAATTAATTTCCAGGATACTGTTACCTCATTGTAGTATCATTATACATTAACAGATACTAAAAACTTTAATTCACCCTGAGTACTCTTTGACTTTCTCTTTAGTGTGGAAAATAGTTTAGTTTTATTGTGTTCAAGTATAGTAGCATTTTATTTTAAATGATTTTTAAAATGTATAGCTTTTGCAATTTAATTGAAATTTTAAATATGTACCTACAAATAGGAATCAACCTTTCTCTCCCCAACCCCTCACTTAGAAGCGGTAGTTAGTAGACTTGCTGCACATTGAAACTATGATCTTAACTTTATAAACATTTTCCTTTGTTACTCCCTTTTGCTATTCAAGAGCAGAGTGAATGTGACAGTTTTGTAATATTACTGCATATTACAACCCAATCACATTGTCTTTCAGATGAGCTCCTTATGCATTGATTTGTGACTATCCTCCCCTTTGTTCTAATTTATTTTAAAACTTTGGAATTCTGAGCAAGAATAAGAATGAACTACCCAAAACAATGCTGCCCTTTTTAATACGAATATATAATTTAAGTACTTGGCTATTTCTCAAAGCCAGTATTTGCAGTAAGGTTTTTAAAATATATCTATTTAAAAGTTAATGGCTGATGACATTTTCATGTAGATTCTGAATTTGAGAGGGGAAAAACTGACACTGAAGCAGATAATTAACAATGAATTATAAAGATGGATGTCCGTGCAAATGTATATTTATGAATATGAAACCTAAAAAATATACATGTAGCAAAAATGCTTACATTAAAATAAGTGGGGAGGGAATTTAATATATATTTTTATTTTCAAGTAGACATAATTAAAGCATTCACAATACAGTATAGGAGGCACTGCAAATATTTGAGTATCCTGAAGGTAACATTATCTGTCATTCAGAACAAAAGCTGTAATAGTTCATCTTACTAACCGCCACTAGGAGGAGCAAGTGGAGGGTTAGTTTTGACTTGTAGCATACCCTGGTACACAGTTTTTGAACTATGCATTTAGGTCTTCAGTATTGTTATCACTGAATCTATAAATAAGCTGTGAGTTTTTATTTAAAGAGAATTATCTGCCTGCATAAATTATGTGTGTTCTTTTAAAATGAGCTGAATTCCTAGTCAGATATAGTGTTCTAAAAATTTCTGATTATGTGATGACAGATTAAACTTTGTTCTGTTGGTCATATATCTTATTCAGTTGGCTATGTGTATATATAGCTGCAAAACTAGATTAAACACTTTATGCACAACTGTTAATAGTGCATTGAGATGAAGTAATAGGATATTGGAAGTGCATAGTATGTTGCAGAGAGTGGTTTAATCTCTAAAATATAGTACTCATCTCACAATGGTGTTTTCTCTCCATTGAGGAGTCTGTTTACAAAAAGTGTTTCATTGTGCAATTAGAATCAGTAGAGTTAGAATTGCACAAAAGGCTAATATTGATGGTCATTGTTGACTTAACTGTGTTATCTGGTTATATTGCAGTGAAGGCATTTAATATTTCTGGTAGTGTATTTTTTTTTTAAGTCATAGACCTAAAGTATTGAAGAGTATTCTGATCGTGATCGAGCTTTAGTGCTAGGATAGCAATAATTTAGTGTCTTGAGTATGTTACACTACTACTTCAGATCAATGACTGTGTGGAGCTTAATTTATCATAATATTTTATGTATCCATCGTGCATTTGGAATGTTGCATGATGAGATATAGGTTGACATAAGTAAGTTCAAAGTTTTGTTGTTCGCATAATTCAGAACTATTACAAATTCAGGTCTGAATGATTGTGTTTCTGAAATTGACCTTTTTGAATCTTGGCATATATTTAAAAAGATAAACTTGCATACCAGACACCTTCTAGAATTTCAGTTCTTACACCAACATTGAAATTGCTTGGTTTTGGGAGTAAGCTTCTATTTTGGGTGGTTATATTTTCTTCAATGTGTGAGATTTAAATTTTGAAGGAAAAAATTAAGAAGGAAAGCTATTGTAGCAAAATGAGCTGACATAAGATGAGTATAACTATGATGAAGGGCCTGCTGCAAGTCTTAATATATCTGCTTAAGTACTTTACCATAAAGGAAACAAATATGTATTAGATACTGTATTTTAAAATCATAACATCTGTTTTGATATTGCATAAAAAGCCCATTGTGTGTTTTTGAATGATATTTTTAAGTAATTGCACACATTTGTTTTATATAATTAATGTTTATGTGCAGTTTTATATAAACGTATTTATGTGCAGTTTTCATCCAGCTAAAATGCATCTCTCTCTTTCTTATTTAGTTTTTGGAGCAGAGTATTCTGGAATCATGCTCCCTCTTCATTTATAGTACAGTACTTTCATTGCACGTTAGTTTGGCCTTAGGCAAAGAAAGCACATTTATGCTTAACAGTATTTTTATGATTTAGCATTGTTTATTATAGAGATTTTTGAACAGGAGCACTCTGGCATTAAAGGACTATTAAACTGCTATAGAGTGAGGTCTTAAATTTTTACTGCAGGTAAGTAACCTGCGTTTCCTTTCTTTATTTATTTATTTATTTATTTATTTATTTCCTTCCTTCCTTCCTTCCTTCCTTCCTTCCTTCCTTCTTTCTTTCTTTTTATTTATTTATTTATTTATTTAACCATTCCAAACAGGCATAAATGATTAGAAATAATGTTAATTTACTTGTGATAGCTAACCGCTTTTCACTGTTTAAGCAATGGAAAGATCACATGCTAGAAAGAACTTTGGGTGGTGGAGTCTACACCCCATCTTAAAGAAAATAACCTATTGAGACTCCCTTCAGAGATTCTGGTGGATATCAGTACTATTTATAGTGTCTGGATGATTATGCTGCCCATAGCCCAAGTCAATATGATTCTTTTTGGAGCTCTTTTTGGGGAGAAGGATGTTGTAGGAAACCAGGTGTGGCTGATAATAATCAGATGATAGTTTGCTTGTGTGTTGGGGTTAAGGGAATAAAGAAGATGCTGAAAGCTTTGAAGGTGGTACTAAACTAAGGCTGGCTGGTTTGTGTTAAAGAGTCTCAGTGTGTGTTGTGCCAAGGCTAGGTTATTGATGTTTTGAGATCATAGCAGGTAAGGTTTAGATCTGACCTGAACTGATTAGCTATTTTTAATTTTTAAAAGAAGAGGCTGTAAAGTTAAATTTCTCCAGACTTTACCATTTCTACTGATAGCAACATAGTCTCTATTAACCCACTTCTCCTTTTTCCCCCCAACTCCTCGCCTTCACATTTGAGTGTAAGTGACAGATTTATTAACAGAAATGTAAAGGCAACGGCATTCTTCTCAGCTGAGCACAAAGAGCCTTCCTATTTTTTTCCTTTTCATCATTCACAGAAGCATTAGCTCCAGCTTCTGTAGATGGGGGAGGAGGTGTTCAGTGACAGTGCTCTCTGTGTTGCTAACAGCACATGCAGTCTAACGAAATATCATGCAATGATCTGACATACCTTCCTTGGTCAAGCTATTTGTGGTGACAGGATTATGCTCGCCGCAATAGTAGTTTTGGCATGCCATCCCTTCAGCCAAAAAGATTCTATCGGCCATGCGCACATCTTCCTTCCAGAAGCCTTCTGCCTGCGACTGCTTTTCAAGGTATCCAGTGTGTCCATCTGTATGCTTCCTGCTCTGCTACCTTCCCTGCTTACCGGCATGCTCGTCTTGCTTTTTCTCTGGTCATCTTTCAAGAGACAGAAGCAGCCCTTCTCGCTTCCATTCTGGCTGGCATTGTCTGATGTTGACAATGGAAGCATTGAAGCTTTTACACTTGGTGTTTCCCTTGTTGGACAATGCAGTGCTGTGTTCTCTCTTCAGTATCCATATTTCTAGTGGCGATGCCAGGCAAAGCAGCAAGAGCTAGAATCTGGAGCTGTTCGCTTGCATTTGATAATAGGATTTACCCTTCTTCCTTCATTGTTGCTAGGCAGTAACCAAAAGGGATGACTTGAAAGCTGGCGAGTGGGGGGATTTTAGTTGAAGGTTTTGTTCCGCAAAATCCAATCCATAGTTCTTCAGCTGCTGCACAGGCAAGCAGCAGTTTAAATGTGGACTTTGACAGATGCTGTCTTCTGACAGAGCAGAATTCCACGTCACTGCTTGGCTGAGTCCCACGTGATGGTTTGCATTCATTTGGGCTAAATCTGAAGGCAGCCAGAGAGCTTAGTGCTTTTGCTTCTGTTTGATCGAGGATACACATCCAGAGCCAGTGCAGCACTGGAAGAGTAAAAAGAGAGAGGATGGTCATGATGATGATCAAATTGTTGAGTCTTTCCCCCCAATTGCCTTCCTTTATTTTGCTACTGTAGTTTAGCACTCTGTAAACATGTTTCAGCATTGATATTAGCTTACCATAATCCAAGTGCACCTTGGCACTGCTTAAGTGCTGCAGGCTATTTATTATGCTAGGTTGTAGCATTCTCCAAAAGCACTTGCTTTTCATTTTGTGGATAGTTTTGTGTTGTATTAGTTCCCATATACCTTCCACCCTAATTGGTGATGTGGAAGTTTATGGTGTTAGATGAGTCCAGACTGTTCCTGGCAGCTTGATATCTCATCACATTTTGATTTATGATGAATCGATATCACAAAGTTCAGCACTACAAATTCAAAATACTGTAAGTGAATTGTCTGGTTTCTCATCTCTTATTCCTTAGTAAGTATTCCAATTTACTTGTATGCTGTTCATGCAGCTCTTCCTACATTATCTGAGGAAACGCCTCTTTTTATGTAAAAGCTCATGAAGTCTATATTGAAAATATATACAGTATATAGTATGCTATGCCATATTTGGGGTTTATCAGTTGAATTCTAAATGTGTGCTTTTGGGGACTAAAATTGTACGTTACAAATGCACTTCACAATGTGCTTAATTTGTGGTTTGCACTATTTATTTACAAAATGCTGACAGGAGGTGTGCTGACTTTTTAAAGAAGTCGTGGAGTGGATAAGCTTGTTAATAATTGTGATAATTGTGATAGTAATAATACCTGTCTATAATTTCAAAATACAGCACTGAAGTATATACAGTACTGAAGTAAGCCAATCTATCCATCTCTCATGCTTTTCATATAATCTGTTGGTAAGTTAAGGAAGAGAGCTGATGCTTCTCAGTATTATAATACTAGCAGATTATAATCAAAATATGCTGCTTTCTTAAATGTTGATTCTCATTTACATACTGCTGAAGGTCAATTCAGCTACCACTCCTCACTTCTGGGAGTGGAAGTTCAAGATCATCTGGGGACCCAAGGTTGAGAACCACTCTCTGACGTATTTGGGATCACACACACTTTACATAATGATTAAAAACATAAAATAATCTTCCCAGCACCTGCAACCTGCCACAGGATTCGATATTCCTCTACAACTGAAGGTTGATGGAGTCCAATACCATCCAGTTCAGTGTTTTTGAGTGTTTTTGCTTTGTTTGTTTGTCTACTCAATAAAAACACATGAATTCAGGCCATAAAAGTACACAGAAATTTACACTGGAAGTTAATGAAATACTAGATACCAAGCCTATATTATAACCTGTGTCATAAAACATTGAATTTTGATTTCACTGTTTTATATTCATTAAGTGCCAATTGTATCTCTCTTTTTTAATGAACAACTTAAGTAGGGCATATATTGACCACAACAGTCTTTGGAGATGTTCATTAAAAGCAGTAGGAATATTATATATCACACAACAAACATGCATAAGTTTGATATTTAGGCAAATGAATTCAGATCAATATAAACTCAAAATGATATGAAAACGCCCTCACTAAGCGAGGGGAGGGCACGAAAATGGCTGCCGGCCATAGGGAAGCATCGCTCAGCGGTGAGTTTCGGGGCCCATTGGAACGGATTAAACCAAGTTTAATGCGTTTCAATGTTTTGTTTTTTTCGTTTCGTTGAGCGATGTTTCCCATAGCGAGGGTTAATCTGGAACGGATTAACCTCGCTATGCGAGGCACCACTGTATATCATACAACAAACATGCATAAGTTTGATATTTAGGCAAATGAATCCAAATCAATATAAACTCAAAATGATATGAAAATCATTTTATGAAAACAAAAACATGAAAATGTTGCTCTTGGGCCATTTGCAAAGCTGCCCATTCATATGGAAGGAGGCGGTCCTTCAGGAAATAAACACATGAAAACAAACACATGAAAATGTTGCTCTTAGGCCATTTGCAAAGCTGCCCGTGCAGTGGAGGAGGCAGACAGAGTAAAGCAGGTTTCTAACACTTCTCACCTTCTGGCAACATCGCATTGGACCTGGAACTTTTCCCTCCAGAAACCACTCATAGGACTTCTTCCAAATACTGAGATTAAGTGTTGTCTCCTCCAGCCACATCCTATCCCACCAGTTAACATTCTCTGCTTCTCTTCTATATTTTCACTTCTAGAATTCCAGTATTCATGTTCATTATCTATAAATGTGTACACAGGAAAGTCAGTGAAGAGAAAAAGATTAGTTCATCAACTAAAACTTCACACCACAGAAATGTGTATACCATTCATTTGAAAATGTAACAACCAATCTTCAGTACAATGGTGAATTACCATTAATGGCAAACTACACAGAGAAAATACTGGTAGCTGAGATCAGCTATTATATCCGCCGAGAAACATGGAATAATGGTATCTCACTCACTTATGTTCATTATCTGGAAACTTAGCCATCCCAACAATGCACACATCTCACTACCAACCATACTTTATGTGAACTTTAAGAACTGAAGAGCAGGTACATTTGGTACTCCAGTTTTCTAGAAATATAATTTGATTCTTACAGAAATTTGGGCTTGGCTTGTTTTCCCATAGAGAGAACAGGATTTCTTCATTTCCTTTCCTATAAAGCTCAGTCTTTCTTAACAGAAAGCTTATTTTGCCTACATCACAATTATTAACAGGCTTATCCACTCCACGACTTCTTTAGAAAGTCAGCACACCTGTCAGCATTTTGTAGAAGCCTTCCCAACTAGCTGTGTTGGCAGGGGCTTCTGGGAGTTGCAGTCCAAGAATGGGGACTCAAGTGTGGGACCCACTGCACTAGAGAACCTTCTGTAATGAGACTGGGGAAAAAATAGAGATAAATTTTCAAGTCATTTTACTATGTAAAACCCTTTTGATAATTTATTGTTTGAACAGCACTGTGGAAATATTGTAAATAAAGGTAACAACTTAAAGAACCACAGTTGCAGCTGCAACCCATCATTTCTCATTGGTGTCTAACTTCACTAAATTGACTGAATCATGAAGGGTACAAAAATTTCAGTTCTTCGTTAATTACACATACAGCTCCATCTTATGACCCCATACCAGACATCACACTCCTAAATGTAGAGATAAGAATCTGAGCATGGAGTGACATCCATAAGTCCAATACAGTGGTGCCTCGCTAGACGATGATAATCCATTCCACTGAGATAGCTGTTTAGCGAAATCATTGTCTAGCAAAAAGCATTTCCCCATTGGAATGCATTGAAACTGTTTAATGTGTTCCAATGGGGAAGAATCATCGTTGTCTAGCGAAGATCGTCCATAGGAAAGCCGCTTTGCGAACTGCCGATCAGCTGTTTAAATCACTGTCTTATGAAGCTTAGGTTCCGAAAACACCTGTTTTGCGAGAGTGGAGGAAGCTGTCAAAATCGTTGTCTAGCGAAAATTGGTTTGAGAAGCAGGGACCAAACATTGTACAGCGAAATTCCCCCATAGGAATCACTGTTTTGCGAATCGCTATAGCGATCACAAAAAGTCAATGTCTAGTGAAAAAATTGTCTTGCGGGGCAAATGTCTAGCGAGGCACCACTGTACTTTGAGAAGGACATGTACCGAGATACATGCTATACAGAGAAGCAAGCAATGGCTCTCTGATACCTATGGAGAGCTTGGATCTACAGTATATCTTACCATCTCAGTTTTTCTTGCAGTGCTAACATACTCTTGGTTACTCTAGCTCAGTGGTTCCCAATCTTGGGTCCCCAGATGTTCTTGGATTACAACTCCCAGAAATCCTAGCACAGCTAGTGGTGAAGATTTCTGGGAGTTTTAGTTCAAGAACATCTGGGAATCCAAGGCTGAGAAACACTGTTCTAGATCACTGGTTCTTAACCTTGGGTTACTCAGGAGTTTTGGACTGCAACTCCCAGAAGCCTTCACCACCAACTGTGCTGGCTGGGGTTTCTGGGAGTTGCAGTTCAAAAACATCCGAGTAACAAAGGTTCAGAACCACTGAACTAGATGATAGCCTCTCACAGCTTTGCAAATATTGTTCTCTGTAAAGCCTGGGGACACTTCATACAGTAGACTGGGAATTGCCGAATCCATTTTGATTATTCAGTAGCTGATTCATTTTAACAGCTGATCACATGGTGACACAACCATATGAATAAATGCTGACAGTCTTGTTGAGCTGATAAACAAAAAGTCAATGTCTAGTGAAAAAATTGTCATGCGGGGTAACTGTCTAGCGAGGCACCAGTGTACTTTGAGAAGGACATGTACCAAGATACATGCTATACAGAGAAACAAGCAATGGCTCTCTGATACCTATGGAGAGCTTGGATCTATATCTTACCATCTCAGTTTTTCTTGCAGTGCTAACATACTCTTGGTTACTCTAGCTCAGTGGTTCCCAATCTTGGGTCCCCAGATGTTCTTGGATTACAACTCCCAGAAATCCTAGCACAGCTAGTGAAGATTTCTAGGAGTTTTAGTCCAAGAACATCTGGAGATCCAAGGTTGAGAAACACTGCTCTAGATGATGCATTTGTTTTGGCTGTCTCTTCTGTCTCAGTGCTTGTCTCTCTGTGTGTTTTTCCCCATAGAGGCTTGTTTGTGAAGTCTCTACCTGTAAAGTAGGGATAGCTGCAATACCACACACCCCTGTATATTTCTGAGAAATTTCATTTTGTTTTTATCCTGACTTTCCCACAAAAATTGGATCCATCTTCCTATTCTCTGAGAAGCGTATCCCTGAAGTCTTTTATATAGTTGCAGCCAAGAAAGTACAGGTATAGCATCCCTTTTCCTCACCTTGGATATTCAGTTTTCCAGGGAAAGAGAATCATCCT